GCATTTTGCATCTTTTATTTCTTTTCAGTTGATCCCACACACATTTGATGGTTCGACAATTTGCTGTCTCTGTTCATTACACGAACCACACTGGTTTAGGAATTGACTAATGAGCTAACGTTCTTCTACGCTCTATTGTCGCTTAGCTAGCCACTCTCCCTCTCTATCTGTCTCTTTGCTTCTGTCTCTTTGAGCTACTGCTGCTGCTAGGCTGCCACAGTCGACGTTTTCTGCTATTTTTATGCAAAACAAATAAGTATAGTTTGTAATCTGAATAATATGAGAGCCGCACACAAAACGTTAATTAAAAGCGACGCCACGTTCTCCTCGCGAATTGGTTGGATGACAGTCGTCTATGGGCCGCATCTACCAGTTTCTAGCGCTCTCCAGCACGCCACATTCAGCACACCTGTAATCGTGGAACAATCATATTGAGTTATCATATTTAAACAGCGTAGCAACGGCAGCAGCTACTCGTCGTTCCACGGCAAACAACATTTGTGATTTTGCTTGCTTTTGTTTTTGAGCCTTAACATTTCTCGATAAGCCGATTTGCGTCTTCGTTTGATTTTTTGTTTTTGTCTTATTTCTCTTTTACCCTATTTTTGGAGCTCGACTCTCTAGTTAGTGTTTTAGCACTGCTGAAAGCTATTGTTTCAATATTACGATTCATGAACTCAGGACTGCTGTACGGTTTACCTGGTTCCATGTTTTCCCTGTACGACCACAAGATTTCAAGGTTAGCTATAGAGGCACTACAATAAAACTACAAACAACCCATATTCCAGCCGGTCAACTGTCGGTTGCTTCAGAGAATTGCGATAAGAAAGGTGCAACCTTTTATATTCGGGCAACGTTGGCGGGGAGGAAAATTCTAGAGGTAGTCAAAAAAAGAAGAGAAACTAAATATTTTTCTCAGGTAATCGCAACTATGTTTCGAATAGAGATAGCAATACACATGTCAGATGAAAGCCCTTTAAAATATATATTTCATTTTAGGCTTTTTAGTTACTCAAACTTTTTGCGCAGTGTACAAACACATTGCGTCTGTTTGCTGTAGCATGCAACAAAAAGGTGTTAATCAAAGCAATCGATTCTTTTTGCTGCTTATATGTATGTATGTTTGTGTGCATTTGCACTGTTTAACGAAATTGTAAAGGTTTTGATTAAGATTTGCTGATAGTAGATCGATGTAACAAAGTTGTAAATATATACATACATACTTATATATTATATAAATCCTTTACTCAAATTTGTATTCATAACATTCATAGCAGTAAATGTACATACATAGTGTATTTATTTGGTTAAATGCATACAAATGATTTTAGCAATGGAAAATGAAGGTGAGAAAATTATGAAAAACTTGCAAAGTAATATATGATATAAAAAATGTACATATGTATGTATGTATACATACATACATGCATATAGACAATGTATTTTTGCCTGGGCTGCAGTTTATTTAATATAAGTAATTGTATTTACAGCATCGCCAAAGTCATTCTGGCCGATTCATTTCAGAGTTCATTTCACTTAGGATTGTTTGTGTGAAGAGTAGAAAAGAACTAAAAATCATGAACTGGTTTGGCCGACGCGAGCAGAGAGCCTCAACCGAGGGCAACTTCGACTACTGCTGGGGAGAGCTACTCTGATAAGCGTCGCTATATGGAACTTACAAAGCGAAACGCTAGCTGCTGCTGTTCCTCTGTATTATTATGATTATTATTTAGACGTCGCTGGCGTTGCTCAAGTCGCGTTACGCTAGCATGTGCGAATGCCTAGTGTTTCCACACGAGTGCAGCGATTAGCTGAATGCCCTACGCTCAGAGAGAGTGACAGAGTGAGAGAGATATATGTAGATAGATAGCGCGAGAGTCTACGTCAGCGGACATTTCACACGTAAAAATTCAATTTACTTTGGCGATTTTGGTTTCAGTATCGAGAATACATGACCCAAGTGTGTGTTATCATTCTGCCATGGAGCTTATTGTGTTCTTTCTTTAGCGATTGCTTTGATTGTGCAGAACGACGCCACGCCCTCTCACCTCCCTTAAAAAGTGTCACTTGACGCATTGGCTCGGGATCGGCAGCGTCAGCGGCAGCGGACTGAGAATCTCAGCTGCAATGCATTCGCATAGACCTCTTCTGCCTGCGCCGCGTGTTGTTGCCCTGCTTTTGTGTTGGCATCTGCGTCATGCATTTGGCTGCAATGGGAACGTTTTACTGCGTGAGGATGGACAATGGGGGTTGGGCGGTGGTGCCGGTGGTGGTGGTGCTGCTGCTGTCGTTGTTGTTGTTGGTGGTGGTAGTTGTACCGACTCGGCGATTGGGTGAGAAGCACATGAATGAATCATTCGCGAAGAGCAAATGTTGGCGTCATTTCATATCTAGCTGTGTGTATCCATGTGAGAGAAGAAACAAAAAATCTACACCAACTGTGCACAATTGCCTTAGAGAGCTGCGTTGTCATGTCATAGCCATTCATTTATTCAATACATAATTACTCACACACACATACTCATTGACTACAAAGTCGTTTGGGAAATGTACATACATATTAATATGTATTGATTAATATATGTATATTTGTATGCGCATTCAAAAATGTGTTAGCTACGTTAGTTGATAGTAAGTTGAATACTTTTTCTTGACTAATAAATTTTTGGGTTTGCTTAAAAATATTTCCAAGCGATTGAATTTGCCGCCAATTCAAATGAAATGCGGCTTCATGTCGCTTTGCAGCACTACACTGCACAACGCTGTTCAACACAGTTGCCAGTGCTGCATGCGATATGCACAGCAAATGACTAAATTTCAATTGGAGGCAATTCAAATTAGCCTAGGCGCTGGCCGATAATTCAATCTAACGCAAATCTTATTAAGGTTAATTTTAAACTCTTAGCAGCTTAAAAAAGGCGGCACTGCGTGGCTGCGGCATTATCTTTGCTTGCTTTGGCAACCCTAATCAAGCTACCCACTTAATGACCTTGCGCTGACATTGCCGCACAGCTGTGGGTCAAGTCGCATTCGCACAAACGAAGTCTATCCAGAAGTTTGTTAGATACAATTTGTCAAGCATCAAAATGGCCTTCAATAAGCTGAGCATCGAGAATCTGGAACTGGAGGGCAAGCGCGTCCTTATGCGGTAGGTTTCATGATGATGAACTTGATATAGCGATATGCATTGAAGAGCTGAATATTGCATAAAAGAAATTTTCTTTATATTTCTTCTGTTTTCCCGCAGCGTGGACTTCAATGTTCCCATCAAGGAGGGCAAGATCACGAGCAACCAGCGCATCGTCGCCGCTCTGGACAGCATCAAGTTGGCCCTGTCCAAAAAGGCCAAGTCTGTGGTGCTCATGTCCCATCTGGGTCGTCCAGATGGCAACAAGAACTTGAAGTACACCCTGGCGCCGGTCGCCGAGGAGCTGACTAAATTGCTTGGCCAGAAAGTTATCTTTCTGGATGATTGTGTTGGCCCCGCCGTGGAGGCTGCCTGCCAGGATCCGGCACCCGGTTCCGTTATCTTGCTGGAGAACGTGCGCTTCTATCTGGAGGAAGAGGGCAAAGGAGTCGATGCCAGCGGCGCCAAGGTGAAAGCTGATCCCGCCAAGGTCAAGGAGTTCCGCACCAGCCTGGCCAAGCTGGGCGATGTCTATGTGAACGACGCCTTCGGCACGGCGCATCGTGCCCACAGCTCCATGATGGGCGAGGGCTTTGAGAAGCGTGCCGCCGGCTTGCTGCTCAATAAGGAGCTGAAATACTTCTCGCAGGCATTGGACAAGCCACCAAATCCCTTCCTGGCCATTCTGGGCGGCGCCAAGGTTGCCGACAAGATACAGCTGATCGAGAATCTGCTGGACAAGGTCAATGAGATGATCATTGGTGGCGGCATGGCCTTCACCTTCCTGAAGGTGCTTAATAACATGAAGATCGGCGGCTCCCTGTTCGACGAAGAGGGCTCCAAGATCGTTCAGAAGCTGGTGGACAAGGCCAAGAAGAACAATGTTCAATTGCATTTGCCCGTCGATTTCGTCTGCGGTGACAAATTCGCCGAGAATGCTGCCGTAAGTGAGGCCACCGTGGAGGCGGGCATTCCGGACGGCCACATGGGCTTGGATGTGGGACCCAAGACGCGTGAGCTCTTCGCCGCGCCCATTGCGCGTGCCAAGCTGATTGTGTGGAACGGGTAAGTAAAACTGAACTTGGAAATCATCCAAGTGATGTCTGATGATTCTCCTTCCTTGTAGACCACCTGGCGTCTTTGAGTTCCCCAATTTTGCGAACGGCACCAAGGCCATCATGGATGGCGTTGTGGCAGCCACCAAGAATGGCACCGTTTCCATCATTGGCGGCGGCGATACCGCCTCCTGCTGCGCCAAGTGGAACACCGAGGCGCTCGTCTCGCACGTCTCCACCGGCGGCGGCGCCTCCCTGGAGCTGCTCGAGGGCAAGACACTGCCGGGCGTTGCCGCCCTATCCAATGCCTAAGCGGCGTCAGAAATTCATTATCCAACACACTAATCTCTCTCTGAATTAATTGTTAATGTTAATGTTGTCATTGCTGCGCCAGGCACCGTTTATCACGTAAGACCCCCAAAAATTCAATAATAAAGTGAATATATAAGTTAACTAGCTACACAAATAACTACCAAGTGTTGATTCTCATTTAACTAACATAATTTTAATATAGTCTATAACTGCGAGCTGTCTAGTTGGAAAATGTGCTAAATTGAAATTCGTATATAGATGAAATTGGAATGCTAATCAGCACATTTATTTTCCAAGTAGAAACGCTCGCTGCTAGTTAGAAAATCAATAATGGATTTTATTCTACACTGCGAATGGTGAGGGGAAAAGGGCGAGGAAAGTAATGTTACTTGTTAATAACATGAGAATTATACCTGAAGCAAGTCAGGTCATATAAAAAAATATTTCAAAGAGAAATATATTCAATATATATATCAATAGTTTCTTTTTTTTTACAATTAATCTTTTTATTTTTTTTTTTATTAAATTTGCAAGTTATAAAAAACGTAAGCTAATTATTTATCATCTTGAGTCGCATCTATAAGCTGAGTACAAATATAGTTTGTATAAATGCCCTAGAAGAAAAATACAATAATCAAGAATAAAAGAAATATTTAAGCTTACACTTTATAAATTCTGAATACAGTACAAACTTACACTTAAATACTTTTGCTAGAATTATTTGCGAGCAAAGTTCGCATCCATGGCAGCCGAGGTGCGCTGTATGTTGTTGAGATTGGAGCGAATGCGATTGCCGATGGACGTTTGATTATCGATGGCCTTCTTCACCTCCTTGTTGATGAACTGTTGGTCAAATTCGCGGGCCTGATTTAGTGCTTCCTCGCGTGCATATTCCTCACGATGCTTGTGCACGACCTTGGTGCGATCGGCCTCGCGCCAGACAGCATTGTCCATCATCTCGCGCAGACGCGCCTCGCGCTCACTTTCGGTGAGCTTCGGCTTCGCTTTCTCTGGCTGACGAGTAACAGGAGGAGGCGGAGCCATAGCTGGCTTGGGACTAGGTCGACGTCGCTCATTGCTGCGACTTCTTTGACGTTGATCTCGGCGTGGACTGCGACTTCTGCTGCGCCTGCGTCGTTCTTCTGGTCTTCCGTTCTTTTGCTTTGTTCGCTCATCTGTTCGGCTGCTGCTTCTCTCCGCTCTTCCTTTCTTTTCTTTAGACTGTTTGTCCCCTCCTCTGTCCGCCTCCCGACTGCTGCTTCTTTCGCCTCTTGATTTACTCTCCTTGGCTTTTTCCGATCTCTCAATGCTTCGCCTACGCATTGTCTTGGTCTCCTTCATCAGCTTTATTCGCTCGTCTGTTCTGCTGCTGCTTCTCTCGCCTCTTCTTTTCTTTTCTTTTGACTTTACTCTGCCATCCTCGCGGCTGTTGCTTCTTGTTCCTCTTGCTCTACTCTCCTTGGCCTTTTCCGATCTCTCATGTGCGCTGCTATCGCTTCGGCTACGTCTTTTTTTGCTCTCCTTTGTCTTTTTAGATCTCTCAGCTGCCCTGCTCTGCTGCCCTGTTCGCTCATCCGCTCTGCTGTTACTTCTATTCCTTCTCTCTTTACTCTCCTTTGTCTTTTTCGATCGTTCATCTGCGCTGCTGTCGCTTCGATCACGTCGTCTTCTGCTCTCCCTACTAGACTTTGTTTGTTCATTTGACCGACTGTCGCCTCTCCTTCTTCCCTTTTTCTCTTGCTCATCAGCGCTCCTCTCACGTCTGCCTTTGCTCTCCCTGATCTTCTTCGAGCGCGTCTCATCATCGCTGCTATTACGTCTGCCTCGACTCTCTTTTGCTCGTTTTGTTTGCTCCTCAGAGCTTCTGCTTCGACTTCTACCACGCCTTCTTCTGCCTGCCTTTGACTCCTCCTCGCTGCTATCGCTATCATCGCTGCTGCTGCTGCTACTGCTACTACTCCTGCTAGGACGCTTTGATTTCTTCTTGCTCTTCTGTTTCTTCTGCTTTGTGGCCATATCCAGCTGTTTGGTCAACGTGCGGTACTTGGCATCCAGCAGTTTGTCCAGCTTAAAGTCCTCACTTGTGCTCTCACCTTTGAGTTTTTTCATCTGCTTGGCCAGCTTTCTGTCCAGATCCTCGTTGCTGTCATCGCTATCATCGCTGTCGTCCTTTTTGTTCTTCTTTTTCTTTGACTTTTTGCTCTTTTTGGACTTTTTGTTGCGCTTTGCTGCCAGTTCCTGCTCCGTTTTAAGTAAGCGATGGATTTCCTTTAGTTTCACTGGATTCTCCAGCAGCTTGCGTCGCGATTCCATTTCTCTCTGTTTGATGAGCATCAGCGGATCCTCCATTGTCTTGCGCTGCATATCCACCTGCTCGGTGGATTGCATATTACGATATTCACGTATAGAGAACGGCACACACTCGTGCTCGACATGGTTAATGGACTGCTTAACGCCCAGAGTGTTTTGCTCCTGTCGCTTCTCCTCCGCCTGCAGCTGCTCAAATGATTTATCTATTTTGCGACCCAGCAGATATTCCTCTCGATTGATTAGCTCTGCGCTATCTGGAATTATTCGAGGATTAATGTTTAATTACACTTAAGCACACTATTTATATACTTTTATACATCCATTCGAGCTTTGCTTCGCCTCCATTGCTACTGTTTAATACGCCCGAATTCTCTCCTATGCGCCGCAGCTCTTCCCGATCCCGCTCTTCATTGATCTCCTTACGCAGATCATCCAGCTTGCGTTGCTCTTCTTGCTTTGCCTGTTCCGCTTTCCAAACTCGCTCCTGATTTTTCATCGTGTGCGGATGCCATGATTTTTTCAAGTTCTATTTGACACATACATATATGTTTTTGAAATATATGAGTTTAATTTTAATGAGTTCTAGTTCTTACCAAATCTCCGCCACCCATGCTGAGTTTTGTTTAGGTTTTATTTAAGCAAAATATACGTATAAGAAAAAGCGTCCTTCCCTCTTATCTTTTTGCCAAAACATATGATAAGCAAGGTATGCAGGTCATAAGACTTTTTGTTGGGCGGCGGATATGCAGCTCATAGGATATTTTTAATAGTAATTATGGCATATATATGTTTTATAATATAAATAATTAAAACCAGTTTAATGGAAAGGCTAAGAACTTTTTATGAAACTAGTCACAAACCATTGTTTCATATACATTAATTATTTTACGATTAATGTTGCTTTTGCTAGCAGCGATCAAACAGGTGTTAATAACAAAATTTATCGACCGCCGCCATATTATGCTGCAACATCGATATATCGACGATAAACAATAACTAGAAACTTAGCCGCGAACTAAAGGTTAGTGTAAATAAGGAATATATATATATATACAAATTATAATATGTATGTATACTTATTTGCATATAGTTAATTACAATTAATAACAGGTATGTTTTTTGTATAGAAAAATGTGACAACGGAATTTTTCCCTTGACATTTTCAAATTAAATTGGTAGCAGGGAAATTTGTATAAAAGTTAATATAGAAATGTTACAAACCTATCCGATACTTTCAAATTCAATAGTTAACCTATGGCATCATTCAAATAAACTTCTTAGCCATGGCACCGATCTACAAATCCAACGAAGCCTTGCCGACAAGGGGAAAGATAAAGATGATGGAAAGTTGCCGCAGAAGTTAAGTTTGCAGGATGTGGACGTGGCTGGCAAGCGGGTGTTTATGCGCGTCGACTTTAACGTGCCCATGAAGGAAGGCAAGATCACTAACAATCAACGCATTATGGCGGCGCTGCCCAGCATTAAATACTTGCTGGATAAGAAATCGAGATCTGTGGTAAGGAATTAATGCAGTTTTCAAAATATTTCTCTTCTAAACACTTTGATCACAGGTGCTGGCTTCCCATTTGGGCCGTCCGGATGGTAAAAAGAATTTGAAATTCTCATTGAAACCCGTTGCCCAAGAACTGGAAAGGTTGCTAAAACGCCAAGTGAGCTTCATTCCCGACTGTGTGGATGAATCAGCTTTGAAAGCTATCCAGAATCCGGCAGAGGGCACTCTCATGTTACTTGAGAATCTGAGATTCTATGCAGAAGAAACGGGCAGCAGCAAAGGCAAAAACAAAAAGAAAGTCAAGGCAGATCCGGCTAAGGTTAAAGCGTTTCGCTCTAAATTGGCCAAATACGGAGATATCTATGTGAACGATGCCTTTGGCACGGCTCATCGAGCGCACAGCTCGATGATGGGCGAGGGCTATAAAGTGCGCGCTGCAGGATTTTTGTTGGATAAAGAGCTGAAGTACTTTGCCAAGGCGCTGGACAACCCGAAGAGGCCATTCATGGCCATTTTGGGCGGGGCCAAGATAGCCGACAAGATCCCATTGATTAACAATCTGCTGGACAAGGTTGATCAGATGATTGTGGGCGGCGGCATGGCGTTCACATTTCTGAAGGTCATGAAAAATATGGAAATTGGCAAATCGCTCTTCGATGAGAAGGGAGCAAAGATGATCAAAGATATTATGAAGTCGGCTGCGAAGAAGAATGTGAAAATTCTGCTGCCCGTCGATTTTCGCTGTGCCAAAAAGTTGGACAAGGACTTTGGTGAGATCAAGACTATCGATGTAAAGCAGGGCGTGCCCAAGGATCAGATGGGCCTGGACATAGGCAATAAAACGATACAGCTATTTGGCTCGGCCGTTGTGGAAGCCAAGACGATTGTATGGAACGGCCCACCCGGTCTCTTTGAGAACGATAAATTTGCTCTCGGCACCAAGGAATTGCTGGACGCCGTCATCTGTGCCACAAGGAAGGGCGCTACGACAATCGTGGGCGGTGGCGATACGGCCACAGCCTGCAAGAAATTCGGCGGCAGCGACAAAGTCTCGCATGTCTCCACCGGCGGCGGGGCGGCGCTGGAGTTGCTGGAGGGCAAGAAGCTGCCAGGTGTGGCGGCATTATCAAGTGCCAAGAAGTGAATTGTAAAATGTAAATTTCAGAATCAGACGTTAAATTGAAATGTAATTTTCTCTCTCTCTCTCTCGCCAAAGCTAAAAGATATTAAAAATTCGTATATCTCAGAATTAAGCAACAGATAAATTAAATTATATTAAAATGTTGATACTTTTTGGCGAATTATATATAGTTATATTCATTTCAAAAATTGAGTTAGATTTAAGCCTTTTCCCCGTTTTTATATTTTTGGGAATTGTGGATATGAAACAAATTCGATTTTTGATTAATCATATAATTTATTTATTTTAAAATTGATTTTGGCTGTTAAAGCCTTTTCAACATAAAGTTCGCTCACGGTTTTATAATTGGAAATCATGGATTAAATCCATTGTCGATTATACGTTTATCTTTTTGGCTAATTGAAACGTTGGAATGAAAGTTTCTACAAATTGTTCATAAAATAAATACGATTGACAACTAATGCAACAGGGATTTTAAAAGATTAGATAATACAAACATAATTCTGTTCATTTTGGTTGTCGATTACACTTGATAAATAATATAAGTCTGCAGCATCAACCTTTCTCAAATGTTCGAACTCAGATTCTTTTTTTAATACAATCAAAGTTGCGTGTCTGCAATGCTTTTTTTTCTTTTTTATAATAGATCAATAGCAATGCTGGTTCAATCGAAGCTGATCAGCTCTGCAGTCGCCGGCTCGGGTGCTTTGCTCGGGGCAGCTGGTTCGGGCTCGTTCTGGGGTGGAGCAGGCGCAGCGGCTACGGCCTGAACTTGTGTGTTCGCAAGCTCCACTGCAGCAGCGGTCGGTGGTGGAGGTGCTACTGCTGCTACTGGTGCTGCTGCTTGGGGTGGTGGTGGTGCCTGTTGCGGTGGTAGTTGGGCATGGGGAATTGGCGGATGGGATTGCACAATTTGCTGCTGCTGCAGCATAACATGAGCCAGATGTGGTTGCGGTTGTGCTTGGGGCTGGGCAATGGGCTGAGGCTGAGGCTGTTGCTGCGGCTGTGGCTGGCCTGGGATTTGCTGTGGCTGTTGTTGCTGTTGTGGAGGCATCTGCGACATCAAGGCCTGAGTCGGATTGGCGTATGCATTCTCGGGTAGTGGCTGCTGTTGTGGCATCATATTGCCAGGTGGGGGTATCATCATGCCCTGAGCTGGCGGTGGCTGTGCCATGGCGGGACTGTACATGCCTGGCGGCGGAATTCCGCCTGCAAATTGACCATTGGGTGGGGCATAGCCAGGGGCAGCTACATAGGGATTATAAACGTTGTTCAACTGATGCGAGGGCGAACCGTGTGGAGCCACTGTGGAGGGTGGGAGATAGGGAAAGGGTGAAGATTGCCCCATCAAATATTGGGCCTTCTGTTGCTCCTGGCGCAGTTGCATTTCGCGCTCCTGTTCCTGGATGCGTTGCAGCGCGAGCTGGCGTTGGTATTGCAGGTATTCCTGCTTCTTCTTGCGCATAATCTCCAGCTTTTGGGCCATTTGCAGTTGACGCTGTCGCTCCTGTTCCTCCGCAATGCGACGCAGCTTCTCCACATGCTCCTGTCGCAGCACGTCGAGGGCTGCTCGCGAATCCTTAATCTGGGCCAGCTTATCCTGCAGCTGCTCGTACCACATACGCTTGTCGTCCAATTCCTTGATGTAGGTCAGCTGTTGGGAGTGCAGTGAAGTGAGCGTCATGAACAGAGTTTGCACCGAGGAGTCATTGGAGATGCTGCGTCCGCGGCTCGAGTTCGACTTCATGCGATTAACAAAGATCTCCACCTGCGTGCGCATATTGGCAGCAAATTCATCAATTTGCACCTCGTCGGCGTTCTTTGACAAGGGCAACGTTTGTAGCAGCTGTTGCTGCTGTGGCTGTGGAGTGGGCGGCATCGGACTGGGTGCCGATGGACTGGCCATCGATGAGGATTCGCTAATTTTGCGCTGCTCCCAATAGCTGCGATTCAAATATTTGGCCAACTCTGGATTGCTTTCCTCCTGCTGCTGCTGCTGGGCTGGCAGCTGCTGCGGTATTGGCTCTGGACTGGGCGAACGCTGCTGCAGACGATAGCTGGCGACCGATGATGGCTGCTTCTTATGCTCCGCCTCGGACTGACTAAGTGCCAAGGCCAGTTGCAGCTCCTCCTCCTCTTTCAGCTCTTGCTCGCTTTTGCGCGCAGGTGTCTTTGCGAATAAAGGATAAATAAAGCAGGGATTTAGTTTATTCTCCTGCTTAGGCAATGCCAAGAAACCAACCTGAACCTGCTGGGAAAGCGAACTATTTAGATATTCCGCTGGCAAATCGCTGTCGGCCGAACCACGCGCACTCGACTTGGCGCCCGCTGGACGTTGTAGTGCCATAAAGCAGCCATCGCACACACGCACATCCTTCTCAATTCCGTATTTGGGCAACGGGCACTGCTTGGCCGTGCACTGGCCGCAGAACACCTGGCCACAGTTGCGGCAATGATGCTTGCGATTGGTGAACGTGAACTCCACGCGACAGCGATGGCACACCCTGCCATCGGCCCAGTTGGGTGCCGTGTCGGCGGTAAACATTGCATCCGCTTCCTTTAGCTCTGGAAATGTGTGCCCCTTGGCCTTCAGTATGGTCATAGTATCCTGTGCAAATGGAAAGTAATTTTTTTGCAGTCTTTCGGTTTATTAATTTTCTTACATTTCAAAATAGAGTGATACGAAAAAAAGTAAAGTTTTTTAAGTCTCTTTAACTTAAATTGAAAGGTTGTGTAAGAGACGATGTTATATAGTCATATAAACTATATTAGCTACAATTCTTTGTAAGAAAGTTATAAAATATATCAGTTACTATAGCTTGTAATTAAATATACATTAGTTTGTATATTAAATATTAAAACTTTTTATTGACTGTATATCAATATAGTTAATGTTATATGGTTCATTAAATATTTAAAGCCTTAGAAAACTTGTCAAATTCTTTAGAAGAATATTAGTATTGGAGTTGAGGCGTACTAATAGTAGAGTAGAAAAGTAGTAATAGTATAATAGTAGTTAAGTAGTTTTATAACGTCATATATTACTAAGCTAATGTATGCCTAGCCATATAGATTGGTAGCATTAAATAAACCCTTTCCCCTTTTTCACCTATCACCAGCTTGAGCAAACATACGTGCCAATTCCCCAAGCGCAAATCTCACCTTAATTGCCTGATATTTGTCCGACGAGCGAAATGCATAGGCCCATGTCTGCACAAGCTCCAGCATTTTCTGTCGCACATTCTCATGTGGCGTTTGCTCCAGGAAGCTGCTAAACATCTCGCAGTTCTCCTTGGTGAAGACCTCTTCGTGTACGGGTGCTCCACAGTTCTTGACAATGCTCTCGAGCACCAGCAGCGAATAGCATGCCGAGTGCGGATTTGGTGAATTCATTTTCTTCTTAATTGCAGCAAAGGCATTTTTTGGTCTGCAATGTAGAATAGAGAAAATGAATCAAATTTCTCTCTTGCTCCAAATGAGTAGCACCTACGTGACGTCTTTTTGATTGATTTCATCGCAAATAAGCAGAATTGAGGGCCAATCTGGTTCCAGACGCAAGTGGCTGGTCGCATTCTCTGTGAAAGACGGAAAATATATGTAGTTAGTCGTTAATTCTTGCACATCATATATGCGTTCTAAGTTCATTTCCCTTTTTTGTTGTACTTTTTCTTTGCCTTTTTTTTTTTCGATGAGTCACTTTTTGTTGCACTATCTTTCAGCTTGATTTACTGTCATATATAATGCGTCACTTACCCAGATTTTTGTCAAAGCTAGAGCGAAACATTTTGTTGTTAACAAACTACTATAATTGGCTAAAGAAAACTTGTATTTTAAAGCGTAAATGAGTTTTATTTATTTATTTCGTGCTCCGCTGCCTCTAGTGCTAGCTGCTGATTTTGTTGCGAGTGATGAGCTGGGTATGCGATGTATTATCGTGTAAATATCGATATATGCTGTGCCAAATGGTCAGGGGTGCATAAAAGCTCTGGCAATGGCGCGCGATAGTATTGGTGTTTAAATAAATGCTTAGAAGTTCAAGGTTTTGATCAGATAATGTCTCGTCATTCTGATTATTTTCCATCTAGTTTAATTCAATTATTGGCAAAGTTCATTATCAATAAAATTAAAGGTTGTTATAGTCATTCATTTATTTACTTGTCCATTTTATTACTTACTACGACTTAATTACTTATTTAAATGATATATATACATATCTATAGTCCCTATATGCATATGAGAAATATATAACCGTATAAAATCTACATATTCGCTAATATTATTATTATTATTATTATTATTATTATTATTTTTTTTTTTTTACATATTTTACAGTATGTAGTGCAGCAATAGGTAGCATTAGTTAAAGTATCACACGCCGATGTAAAAAGGTTGTTCACTTGAACTAAGCGGTAAGTAACATACAATCACATTTAATTTATATTAAGCTCAAAATACTAGGCAACCAATGCAATCCAAATCAAACTGATTTGAGTTTATGCTTCAGCGTAAAATAGGCCAGGATCTTGAACACCGTTATGTGGCCCAAGATCATCATGATGTTATAGCCAAAGTCGCCCTGTTCCATGCCAAACTGACGCAGCACCGTAATTGCATTTCTATAAAAAAAAAATCTTTATAAGTATATATTTATTATGAAATATGAAACATTAAAACTTACTTGAAATGACAGTAGAATTCGTTGGGTGGACACTCTAGCTTATCACGCTGATTCCCATACAATGATACAACCATATTCTCTAGAGCATAACGCATTGGCGAAAGAGCAGCTATGAATCGTAAGGCTGCTGGTATGTGATTCAGCAGGATGAGGAAGCCCGAAAACATGAGCATAAAACATGTCGAAACAGCTCCAACAAAGGTGCCATTCTGCGAGGGAGAGAAAGCATATATTAACAAATATTATTAAATTATATATATATGTGTCTATCTTACCACCGGGTTAAGTAAGGTGCCCAGGAATACGCCCAAGCCATCTGCGCAGATAGTTACGACAACAGCAGTTAGTAAATATTTTACAAAGCGATCTAATTCAACTGGCTGATCAGTCATCAGATATCCAATGGTTATATAGACTGTCGAGAAGATTATCTGCAAGGGCATGGAATATTAGATATAGAATAAATCAGATCTATAATCTGATTTGATCAGATATAAACCTACATGCACTGGCGTGGATGTTATCAAGGTGGCCACATAGTAGGTTCTCAGTTTATACCAATTGTTAAATGTTTCCTTTTTGATTATCTCAATTTCCATGGGATCTATAAGCAATAGTTATTATTATAAACATATAGACATTACATTTGATTTCACTTACAGCGCAAGATGCCAGGCATTATGGTCGTATACCAGAGATAGACACAGTGTATCATAATCATGCCCACATTTGATATTTGCTTCGTCGCATTAATGCCGGAATCGCCAAAGAATAGTCCAATCATAACGGCACTCAGAATATGCATGCCCAGCTTCAGATATGTCAAGGTCTAGTAAAAATAAAAAGTAAATTAAATTTAAATGACTTAAAATGTTATATAATGGCTTGCATAAAAATCAACATTTAAAAATATATTAACATTAACAAACAATTAAAAGCTGCCGTATAATTATGGGGCAGAGGGCATATGTTTGATCTGCAAGTAGAGCTCGACCAACAGTAAAACATTCTATCAGGAAGATAGGTAATTATGTTAAATAGGTAATTAACTCCTTATGAATACCTGTGTGTATATTAATAAATATTATTCTAGGTATGAGTATTTATGAATTTATTAATATGATAAGTATTTACATAAACTTAAGTATTGTGGCACAGAGTTTATTATAAATACAAGATCTCCTCTCAATAATTTTAATTATATTTCCTGTATTCCTCTTAGTCTCCTATCTCATTCTCTCGTCTTTCTAATATTTTCCTTTTTATGTCTATTTCTCTGTTTTGCGTTCTGTCTCTCTATTTCTTTAACTATTGTGTCCCTCTATCTCTCCATATTTCATCTCTCTCTCTCTCTCTCTGTCCACTCTTTACCTCTCTGTCGACTCTCCTTTTCTCTTTCTTTGTCTGTCTCCTCTTCTTCTATGTCTTTCTTCTCTCCTCAGGCGTCTCTCTTTCTCGCTCTGTTACCCTCTCCATATTTCTTTCTTGCTCTCTGTTTTAGTCCCTCTCTTATGTTTCAGATCGATGTTTCTCTGTTTCAAGTTGTTTTTCTATTTCGATCTCTCACTGTCTCTACTTCTGATTGGCAGAATCTCTCAATGTGTATAGAAAATGTGTTTCGCAGGAGAAACAAATACAAAGCATCTAAATAATCTTAAGTGTCTGGTCAAGTATACATATATGTATGTGCTTTAACATATGGACATATATGTAAGAATAAGTTAAATCAAGTTCAGGCTACGCAGATCTGGGCACGTCTGATCTCATTGTCTCTTGCAAGTTCTATAAAAATGCTGAGCTCTCTGAGTATATATTTTATGTATTAAGGAAAATTGTACACACCCAATCCCTAAAGAACTGTAGGTGACAGCGTCCAATTAGCAGCCATAAGCGTACCCATTCAGGCGGTGGGTAGGTGTGCTTAATGAGCTCCTTGGCTGATTCAGCCTTTTGTATTTTGGACTGAGCCGCTTGGCCTTGGGTTTGCGATTCGTTGAACTTGGCCACCTGAGCATCGGTTGGTGGCTCTGCCTCGTCCTGCACTAGCTGCTGATCGTATCGCCAGCGTGCGTCCCTGGCACCTTCGGTCAAGGCCTCTGTATGATCATCGAAGTCACCGTTCACACACTCCAGCACTGTCACGTGACGCCAATGACATTTTTATGATCAGTTAATGGCGAACGCCAATTAGTGGTGTAGGTCTACTCACAGAAATCGGCTGGATTGTGATAGGCGGGGCATTCGAGTCCGATCGTTTTCAGAAACAGCACCGTATTTTGGGGTGTGCCCTGATAAGTGCATTGACCAGAACTTAGCACGTAGATCAAGTTGAACAGATTGTAAATGTTTGTCGATGGCTGATGGATTGTGCACACAATGGTGCGACCCTCGTTCGCCAGTGTCCGCAGCAGTTGTATGGTATCAAAGGAAGACGAGCTGTCCAGGCCACTGTGAAGGGATACAGTCTCAAGGTTAATGCTACATCTGATCGTGCTGTTGTAGATGTTGCTTACGTTGTGGGCTCGTCTAAAAATAGCACAGCTGGATTGTCAATTAGTTCCAAAGCAATAGACAGGCGCTTTTTCTGGCCACCGCTCAGCTTTGAGCATCTTGTTTGCTTGGCCTTGGTCAGCTTTAATGTGTTTAACAAGTGATCGATCTGAAAGGCATGAAAAAAATTTAAATTAAAAACGGGTTAGGGACATAAATGGCAATTGCAGCTTTAAAAATTTTCAATGTGACTTAATCTGGTTATTAAAGGAGCTTTTATTTCATATTAAGTGAAGCTTGAAGCGCCTTAATAAGGCATAGAAGAAATTTTATCGAAAAATTGGTGGAGAAAATAAATGGAACAGAGACAATACTACAGGCTTCAAAGAGCTTTAAAAATCAATGAGACTTAATCAGATTTTTAATAAATTTTATTGGCATTTTAAGTATATTTTGAGAAGTTTCAAAACAACTTAAGTTGTTATTAGCTTATATAACAATTTAAGTATAAATTCATGATTGTGTTGGAAGATTTAACTAAGTGAAAGTTCTACAATTATAGCCAGTTCTAAATAGCAATAAATGTAATATGTACATTTTAAAGATATTTATGCTAGGAGCCGCGCTCTTTATGCTAAAAATCTGAATGCATATTGCTAGTTTATAATCAATTACCTCCAAGCCTTTAGGTAAAGCGTTAAAATTATTGTTAAGATATGACAAAAAATTTCTTCTAAAAGGTCTACAAGTTTCTTAAAGTTGCTAAAGATTTTTTAACCATTTAAGAAACATTTTAGTTGAAGCAATAAAGCATTTGATTTATTGCAAAGAGCTAAATGCTACTAGAAGTGGCTTATGAGCACATTTAAGCTTGATGGAGTGTTCTACTAAAACACTCTCTTATTCGGCTTAATCTTCAATCTTACCAAAATGCGTTTTTCCTTCAGACTAACACACTTATTGGATATCTTAAGTGCTGCTGCTAGAAGCATCGTCTCCTCCACTGTGAAGAATGGATAGAAGTGATCATCCTGCATGATGTAGGCGCACAATTTGCGTGCCTTGCCGATTTCAATGGTGCCCGAGACACCATTTTTGGTGAGGCCCGTTAGAATGTTCATAAGACTAGATTTGCCGGCGCCCGATGGGCCCATAATAGCCGTCATTTCGCCTGATTTGAACGTACCGGTAATGCCCTTGAGCACCGATTTTTTTTCTGCAAGCAAATTGCGAATATTTAATATAAACAAAATAATACAAATATTTCGAAAGAGTTCAGGTAAGATTTGTATCTGCTTTTGTGAGTGTATTTACGTTTACGTTTTACGCACCTTTCTGCTTCGACTCTCTGACCTGGTAGACCAGATCTTCAAAGTGTATGTCGATGCCATAAACAGTTTTTAATAGTTTGTTACTATCCATGTTTAATTGTTTATAATAAATTAGTTCTCACTGACTATATGAAACTTTTGGTTCATATGTTTTATTAATATTACTTTTGAAATGTTTCGTTGTTTTTTATTGTTATTATTTTTTTTTAAGCTCGATTCGTTGTATTTCAGAAATCACTTTGTTTTAAGGTCGCTTAGCAAATGCTTTTGGCTAATGCATAATCATTGCTGCAATGCAATTAGTTTCAATGTAAGAGAGCCCCTCTTGCACAAATGTTTAATTACACGCTCTGAACAATTAAAAAAATGTAAATTAAAAATTGTAAATCAAAAAAATAATGATGACAAAATACTTTGGGCTTCAGCCTGTTTCATTGTAATTGGAGCGCGAACTGAACTGACATACACGCGGGGCCGAGCTCTTGAACCGCTGAACCATTGCATAAAACTGCCAAACACCAACCACTCAACCACTGCTCAAGCACCGAGCCGCCAAGCCACTGAACCGACAAACGAACAGCTGTTAACTGCGGAAGAAGCGACTGGGCGGCAGAGCCAGAGACAGAGACAGAGGCAGAGGCAGAGGCAGAGGCAGCGACAACTGCGCAGCCGCGTCGACGGCCAACGTGAACGTCAACTGCGCAGCCAGCTGTGCTTTAAAAACCAAAGCAAAATCCAATAAATTAAATCGTACAATAACAATGAAGAGACCAGCAGAGCAGCGGTAACAACAACAACAACAAGAGCTATCAGCTATAATACGCATATCCAAATCAATTTGGCAATGCAAAACGCGTCGACAGAATGTCAAAAACAAAAACAAAATTGAAAAATAAAGTCAACAATCGAGCTACGGGAATCCAAAAATGTTCAAGTTTAAAGTTTTGGACGTAGACATTATTTTGGGCGAACAGAACACGCACGCACACACACACACAGACACTCAGACACACTGGCTATTTGACTAGTGAGTCAACGGCTATATACATATCTATAATTGTCTATAGAAGATATAACAATAATTACAAAAACACATAAAATATGTCGCATAGAATGAAATAATTTGCGAACGACCTTCCCGTCATTGGTCTAACATGACAATACTCAAAAACGTGGAACAGAAGAGGAATGCGTACTCTCGCTTCGCATATTATGAATATTATTATTATTTCTGTAAATATGTAGGCAAACATCAAGTGTAAATAGCGGTGGAAATGGGACAGCACCGAATATTTTAATATACTTCACGCTTAAAAAGACTAGGAATTTTAATATATTGGAAAAGTTGCAAACAAATCTTGCCAAACTTCTACAAGAAAACCAGTTTGCCTTTTTTTTTTTGGTTTTGATGAACCGTCTCGATTGTTCCATAGCATTTAAAAATGAGAAGATGGTGTTATATAATAAGCTGAATTTGTATTATAGAAAACAAATGTATAACGCACCTTTATTTTATTTCTGCTTAAAATGGAAACCTATTATTATAATAATGCAGAGATTTATTCAATTTACTTTAGTATATCAAAGTCATCAAAAATATATGTACAAATCAATTTAGAACTGCTTACTTTCTAAATAAGTATTAAACTGGTTCATATTATGTGCCAAACGCGAAAAAAGTCATAAATAAAAATATACAAATGGATACAAATAAAAAAAATATGTAGATATAAAATACAAAAAAAAAAAAAAAACAACATTTTATTGAATAATATATATACATATATAAAAAATTATGTATAATATATAATTAATAAACATAGAATTAATTAAATAATAAAAATAATAAATAATTAAATAAATTAAATATTTTTGTATTTATCAATTTATTATTTCAATAGTATATGCATATATATTAATACTAAAAAAAAAAAAAATTTAGTTTAGATTAAAACTTATATTACTATTTTTTTAAATAATTTGTCCTTTGTTTGATTTTAAAATGCTTATTGCATTTTTAAAAATGTTTCAAATTGCAAAAAAATTATTACTTATGTTAAAGCTCTATAAAAACTTATATCATTGACTTGATTGCTGAGTATTTATATAAAATTTAACACCAACAAACAGATAACAAACATCATTAGTTAGTTGAGTATGCCATGTTTTTGTTTAATCTCTTGTGAGCTCATAATAAAATTTACCGCAATGCGCGCATGAGCTGGTGACCAACAAGAGGAAGATAGTAAACGACGCGTCGTAGAACAGTCAAGTAAGAGCAAGAGCAACAGCAGCAGAAGCGCAACAACAACACCAGCAACAGCGGCAGCAGCAGAAGTAGCTAAGACAACAACCTCCGTAGATGAACAACTTTGAAGAAATATGGTATTTGTTAATGGCATTTGTGGACATCAAGTAGTCGTCAAACAGAAGTGAAACGACAAAAAATTGCATAAATTGCAAAATTCGAATTACACAAACAACAACATGCCGAAATTCGTATGGAAATTAAAAAGAGAACCGTCAAGACCATCGTGGTCGCTGCACAACAACAACAGCAGCAGCAGCAACAACAACAACAACAACAACAACAACAACAACAACAACAACAACAACAACAACAACAACACCTGTTTTAGTAGCACTTGAATGTCGACGGTTCGGCGACCGTCGTGTCGCGGTTGAAACCGCGAAAAGTGAATCTGAAGTAGTCGCCGCGCTGTTTGTTGCCTCTGCAACAGCTACTGCAAGGGGTGAAGGGAAGTTGTATACAATATTACTATAATAGAGCCATAGCCGGCAGTCTTTGTGAGTCTCTTGTCTTAGCTCTTGTTGTGTTGTTAGTATACTCTAACAGCGGGTATCACGAAAAAGTATAAGGCCCATCAAAATCATACAACTAAAGTCATATTTATATCATTTTTTTTAACTTATCAATCTTATGCAGCTGTTGAAGTATTCAATAAGATTTGACATATCTTAGCTGTTGCCAAGGAACTTTCATTTAGTTGCTGCTTGCTATAGCAGTCAGTTCAGGAAGTGATTGGCTTAAATAGCTGTCGTAAGATTGAACGGTCGCAATTATACCTCACATTCCTGTGCAACAACAGACCCCACATACCTTTTACGTGCATTTATAATTACTAATAAATTACAATTCTTATGAATGTTAAGCTACTATTAGACAAGTTAATGGGATTTAATAATCAGGAAACACAATTTTCTGAGGAAGCTGACGGCTAATTTACAATAGTGCCATTTTATTTTTTAATAATTAAGGATATTCTATACCCAATATACAATACATTGTCTGCAATATTTTAATTTAGTATACATATTTTTCTAAAAATACATTCAGTGGGATTATTTTGCTGCCTTCTAAGTCACATTTTAATATTAAAAAAAAAAAAAAAACATCTTTTAAAATTTCCTGCAGTTTCCTTTCTTCAGCTCAAACAGTGCTCATTCTTCAAGCAACTCTCAGCTTGCAGTGTATATAAATTTCGTTGTACAAATTATGCGTTTTTATTGCGTTTGTTTTTGTTTTTTCTTATTTGTTTTACAGCATTTGTCGCCGGTTGCGCAATGAAATTCCTGCGCTTTGAATGCTCTCGTCCGCAGCCTCAGACTGTCTTTAGAATTTTCGTTTATTACTACGTGACCAGTGTGGAAGTAATGACTCAAGATCTTAATACAAAACTCTTACAAAAGAGCCTTTTGTGAAAAAGGTGTCAATAGAATGCCACTTGGCGGCTAACAAAGAGCTGCGCCTTTTAACCAAAATTAAGGCCAGCAGTCCATGCGGTTCTCAGGCTGTTATAATTAAGTTCAGATTTGAGTATGTGTGGATTCACCCTATATAATATATAGACTATTTTTCAATGTAAGAGTACGCTGTCCTTCGAATGCATAGTTGAACTGCAGGTCGCTAGTGCAATAGACAAATGTAAATATATATAATGAGATATACATATATGTCTTTACTTATATATGTATATATCATGTACTCGATACCTTGGGAACGCAAACACTTGACCGACAGTCGGCACTGCCACTTGCTATCAATTAAAGTAAATTGTATTAAGATTGTCGTTGGCTTTTACACATTTAATTTTACTTGAATATCTAATGGAAGTAATTATATGCCTGACCAGTGGACGGGCAAGTGTGTCTCTGCCATGATGTTCCCTATTGAATATTAGCTGAAAAGCTTTACGATTTTTTAAGACTTTACAGATGAAAGGTAAATGGTAAGGTATATGTAGTATATATGAATATGCTTACATTCAGCTCTTAGCATATCACTTTTTGGTGATAAAGATACAATTTGCTTGCACTAACAAAAGCAATAAAGATATTTATAAATGTTTGATTAACAGTAAGTTAGCAGAAAACTAAGTGCGCATATAATTATTGAGCTTTGCCAAAAGTATAGCAAAAAATATAGTCGGGTATTTGATTAGAAGTATATATGTTTCTGTTTCAGATATGATTCATAGCATTTTGGCTGCAAAAGAGTCAAAGAAAAATACAAAATTTTAAAATACGAGTATCTGATTAAGATTATAATGATTTTAACTATACTCGTGTTTGTATTTCGGGGTTTGCTTCATAAAAAGATTAGATTTTATTCTAGACGCGTCTGAGAGTTTGGAATTTCTGGCTTTTGATTTCTAATGGATTTCGAGCAACTAATGGAAAGAATTATTTACTTGTATATATTGAAAAATTTTGAAATATTTCAAATTTGTAACTTTTGAAATATTAAAGATTTTATAAAGAGTTATAATAAAAATACAGTCAACATTTCGATTGAAGTTTTCTATCAGAATATGTTAGAATATTTCACTGAAAGACTTTAACTGCTAATAATATTTAACATTTAGATTATGAGTCTTAAAAATCAACAAAAGTTTTAAAATTAGAAAGTGTTCTGCTATCAAATATACCGTTCATAAAATTATAGCAAATAATACTCATATGTTGACCTTGCTTTTTAATGAGATAAGATTGGACTCCATTGGAAAAATTTAAAAGCATTATAATGTAGCATTTAGATTATAAATTTAAAAACTTAGAAAATATAATGAAAATATAATTAAAAATGTTTAGTATATTTTCGAATCACTTTATCTACGATCTATTTGGGAAACTCCACATGATATAGTATATAGCTTTTGGCCATTTCCATTTGAAATCAAATAGGCCAAAGGTAAACACAATCATTTCAGTTTGCTTCTATTTGTTTAGTGCTTGCATAAACAAAATAATTATACTATTTTAGGGCATTAATTGCATAAACAAATGAATGAAATGTGTTTAAGATCAAAGTTAGGTACTTAACAATCCCAAAATGAGCAGAAAACAATAAAAATAAAATTCATAATCTTTGCTCGTTCAACGTGTATCTGTTGATCAGTGAAGCTTCAAGGTTGCAGGAATCTGAAAACAGCTAAATACACTTAGCAGACATGATCGATTCCGTCATAAATACGTGTTTGCTATTGGGATTCTGTTTAAACAATTTACTGTGAATCATTGTGGAATTAAAAGTGAAATTAAGCGCCAAAAAATGAAATAAGCTTTTGATTTGATTAGGTGCGACTAAGAAGTTGCACGTCTATCTGCTTATATTTTAATATTAATTTAATAATAGTTCCACTACTTAGCATGATAATTAGTCAAGCTCGATCGCACCTAGAACAAGTTGTTAATTAATAAATGTCGTCGTTGGCTTGGCAAAAGGTCTGTTTACGTTCGAATCGCTAATAGTTTTGTAAATGCAGCTCTTTATTACCCAATTAGCCAAGTTCAAGCGCACCCAAAACGAGTTTTTAATCTAAAAATATTCTTAAAATGGAAACCAGAAGCTTATATTACGGTCAAGTTCTCGGGCGATAAAAAAGTTACCCAAATTCAATTCAGCATGAATTTTTCTGTTATTGTTGTTGTTGTTGGTGTTTTTTTCTGACCACCTTGCACATTCTGACAGCCAACACATAAAAAAGTTGATCTGCAAGTTCTTGCCTTGTCATTTCACTTTTTATTATTTTTTATATCCTACAGCAAACCTATTAATGTCAACAGACACAAGAAATATCAGCAAAATAAATCGGATTTGTGCTCAGTGCATGAAGCGTGAATTTGAATGACGGAATTTTAATTTACCCATAGTTATTTTAATATATCATCAACAGCTAAATAATGAACTCTCCTTTTCCGAGGAACCTTGGCTATTTAATAAATATGATGTAGAGTTCGCTGCTTGATATGCCTGATTATTTCAGTAAAAAAAATGATCGGGAAATTCAGTTCAATCCGTTGGATCAATTCAAGCTGTGTAGTTAATCTCATTATAGTGATTAAGTAAGTTGTAAAGCTAAATAAAGTGTTTGCTTTTAAATGCGAAACAGGTTCAGTTGAACCTAAGTCGGTTGGATAATTTCTTGAAGTCACCTTTCGAGTTTAAATAAGTAAGCTAATTAATAAATTTTAATTGATTGCAGAGAGCTTTTAGAAATCTAAAGATATTCTACAAAGTAAATATTATAACATTATGATAAACTTGATAATCTTGCAATAAAATGAGGGAAAAAACAACAACTTGAATCACGTCATACCTAGTTGACTTTACAAAATACACAAGTCTAATATTCATTGTAATTTCCATTATATTCGCAGTTCATTCAATATTTTACGTTTAATTTATGCACAAAAGCTTTATCTAAATCGAATTCATTCAGTTGTATATGACTCACAGCCACAGGTTTTTAGACTAATTAAAAAAGTGCTGGGTGCAGCTAGACCCAGGACATAATTTCACAGTCATGCTAAGAGCTTGCCGCAACAGGTGAGGCAGTTACGGAACCGCCATAGGAAAAAAATGAAAACACTCACACAATTTACTATTTGCCAATTACAATACAATTTCCAAAGACAAGTGTACAGTAGACAAATATCGTAGCTACAGGTGCTTGGGCAGCGCCTTTTATTTATATACATTTGGGATATAGAGTTTCTCATGCTGGCGGCGGGTTCTATATGGTTTGCCATGATGTTTGGCCCAGTACGATAAGTACGCAGAAAGATAAGCGCTAGAGATGGGTGTGGGACGCATTCACCCACATACGCACACTTACACACACACACTAGCACATACGGAGACAGAAAGTTACGCACTTTTCATTGCTTGTGTTTCTATTTTCTGTTTATGGATATAAATACGTATGTATGTATATGTATGTATCTATCAAATGTACACACACTACATCGGGTTGGTAGCTTTGTCGGACTCTATGCAAACCGGAGCGTATTGCATTACAAATTGTATTTTTCCACGCCCTCGAGTCGAGGAGAGAATGTTGACGCTCAGTCAGACCCCGACAGCGACCCACTCTGTGCGCCCATTGTTGTTAGTGACAATCATGACAATGATGAGGATGGGGTCCGTTAAGACAGACAGACAGGGTCCGGACTTTAAGGGCTATGATATCATCATCAAATGCGATTTCGCAACAATAATTGCACCACTAATAAAATGTAAATAAATGTGTCAAAGGAAACTCATCATGCACGCATAATTAATTTGTGGCCAACAGAAAGGAAGGCGTACAAGGCGTATGCGTAATTTTTGCAATACAATTAAATGTATACATATATGATATATGCCATATTGCATGCCAAAAATAAGAAGAAATATATACTGAACTTTGATCTACAAAAGAATAATAAATTCTTGATATATTTTTTATGGCGCGTTTTGTGCGTCTGTATGTGTGTGTGTGCTCCATTTTCTAGATGATTTCATTACACAAAATAAAAGATATAGAAACTACTAGCTAATACAAAATATAAAAAGCAAACGAAGCACTCAAATCGAAATTGAAACCAAAGCTACAAATAGTTCAATTAGGTTTAAATATTTTAGATGTGGAATTGTGTCAAATACGTTGAATAACTCACGAATTGTTTTACGCCTTGCTCTTGATATTCAATTCAATGAAAATGAATGAAAAACAACGCAACGAGCAACGTGAAGAGACAGAAGAAGAAGAAGAAGAAGAGGAGGAGAAATACTCTTTGATATATCGAATTGACTTCCTACATGCAGCTGGTTTTATCTAAACAACACGAATCGTTGCAGAGTTTTGCATATTTTTTAAATACTTTCTTGTTTTCTTTACTTATTTATAAAGACGGAAAAACATATATAGCGGTAATTATTATATATGTGAAATGCGAAATTTATTTTTTTAGATCTGTAACACGCGCGACGAGCACTCTATTGAGAATACATATACATATGTATAGTTATATATAAGCATATATATGTATATATCTGTGCGTTTTTTTCAGTATCTCAAAAAACACTTCCGAATCGCTCAAAATGCGGCGCGAGACTGAGACTGGGTCGACTTTCAGGCAGCCATTGGCGACGGCGTCGGAACGAAACGGAACTCGCGCAAATAGTTTCTGAAGCGTTGCGGGGTCTCTGATATCGTATGTGGATATCTACTCATTTTTTTCTATTTATTTGGAGAGCGCTCGCCTAGGGTCTATCATTGTTTTCCTAATGTTTATTAATAAAAGAACTACAGCAACACACAGCAAAAATTGAGCGTACAATCCGAGAGCATCTCGCGAGAAATTTTCACGAGTCTCTGTTTTTGTTTGGGGTGCTCAATGTGTCGCCGCTGCTCTCAAGTGATTTGTATAGAATTCTCCGTCTTGATGCTCAGCTGGCCACAGTGCAGAATTCAGTCTGTCCAATAATGTGAATATGGCTTAGTTTAATTGACCGGCTGAACTGGTTAGCTATTTAACATTAAATAGCTAAATAGAAAGAGAAAACCGAGCATATGTTTAGTAAATCACTTATTATTAATCGTATATCCCGGTAGGCTGATTAAGATGAAAATTCAGTAAGAAATTCTGTTGATCTATGTGTTTTTTTTTTTTTTTCTATTGGCACATGTGTTTTATAAGTCTAATCTGATAATTTCGTGTGGCTAGCTTAATTTTTTTTTTGTATATTTTTTTTGCAGATAAGCCCTTTAATATAGCTATAGACAGTAGTAGACACTTCTCATTGATAAACTTATGGCATTGAAAAAATTGTTTTAAATTGAATTTGTGTTTCATTTTTCTTTGAAATACGTTTTTATATAGTACATTTATATTCATATACGTATGCGCATAAGCTCAAAGCTAGAGCTTAATTATTTAATCAAAAAATGAATTGGCAATAAAATACGAAATATTTATATAAGAAGTAAATATATACATATAGAGATAACATTATATTCATCAAAGACTATTTTATTTCGATTTGATTTAGGGCCAATTAAAAACTTGAATCAACGGCGCTGCCGTCTATTAAAAATTAAATATATTACTATAAATGTAATATATAAAATGTTTACACTTAAATTTATTTTTGTTTTTTTTTTGGGAACATTTTTAAATATTTTTTGTATAGCTTTTCATTTCTGTGGAAATCGGAGATCAGGATACAATGGTTGTATTTCTCTAATCGCTCAGATATTTCAGAAAACAATTAGCATAAATTTAGCAATAAATTTCATTGTTGTTAATCAGCATGAAATTCGTGTCAAAATATTTGCGGATTTCAATTGATAGCACTTTGAGATTGTTTTACTTTGAACGCATTAAAGATGGGACTAGCATATATTATATATATTTTTTATAAAAATTTACGGAGCAGCTTACTTGATATTATTTCTTACCTACTTTTTATTTATTTAATTTTGTTGATTATGTTTACATATTTTTGTATTTAGAGTATTTAGTTGTTGTTTCAAATAACTTGTTATTTTATTACTTATATATGTTTATATGTTTTTTGTATTTTTTTATTTTTTTATTTAAATATATTTATAGCAATCATTATTTCATATAAAATCGTGAATTTTGTTGTAATAATTAAACAAAAATTACCTTTGATATGAAATTCGATTTTTCAAATATTTTATTTTATTTCTTTCGAAATATAAGTGCTTAGCTACATAAGTAATGTGAATATAAACCATTCACATTTTACTGTGCTCAACGATTGAGATTTTACGGTGATTCTGTCTGAACTTTGAAATGGGGGTTTTCGATTTGAATCTCAGGCAAGTTAGACGTTAGCTATATATAGCTACTACATTTCTAAATTGTTAGCACCGAGCCAAACCCAAAACTAAACTTTAAGTGTTGAATTGCCTCTTATAAACAATCAGTTAACAATTATTTTTATCAAAAAATTGTTATCGGTTAAAGATCAGGCCGGATGCCTGAGGGCTAATAATCAGTTTATCTCTCTTGTTGTTAAAACGACACAGACGCGAAATGCGTTTTTCAGTTCGTGGACATACGTTTACACGTATTTACTATAATTTAATAAATGCTTAATAATTACGTATTGCGCTGTGGAATATGCAATTAATTGCAAAATTCCGGTTTTTCCTAACCCTTGATTCAACACGACAGCCGCCTATAAAATCAGCCATAATATTCAATTACTAAGAATGAATACATTAACTACTTGACGCATTCTCCAACTCTTTTCGAACCATCCATGAGTCTAAATAATAATCTAATAGCCACTAGATAATTTCCAGCTGATTTACAATGCAATTTTATATAAGTTTGTTGTATTCATTTTCACCCACGACATTTATATTGCGGGCTTTATAACTAATTGCTTAGGTTCATATGATAACTGATAGGGCCTTATCAGTAGAAAGGTAAATGAATTGGACCACGTACACCCCAAACATATTAGATTATTCAATACAGCGAGCCCTTGCACAGATAAAAACCCAATTTACTAGTATCGAGCGATATTGAAATTATGTATATCAAAGGCACTTTACTAATATGGTATTTATCAATATTTAGTTGGCAGCTTAGTTTTGCCTAGTCATCATTATAGCTAAAATTGTTTATTGCATTTTAATATATCTTTAATATATACTTATATTATTGTTTAATTCTTCTTATTTTTTATCACATTTATATTGTCGGAACCAGTATATATAGCATTGCGGTTGTAAGATATGTGGTTAAGCTTTCATAATAAAGTACAATTTCTTAGTCATGGTTAAAATATCTTGAATAAAAATTTAAAGCACTTCAACATTGGGCTGCAAAAGCAATAACATGTTTTGATTTCTATTTGTCCATTTGGAGGAGTTGAACTTTAATGAATGAATGACATATTGCTGTAATTTTATTCATTTTTCTAAATTTCATTTGAAAACAAAATATATAGAAAAATTTCGTCAAACAATTTTTCTATTAAAGAATATGTATTATTTTGTCAAATTTCTGATACATAGATTTCCCCTGCTATAAAATAATCATTATTAACTACATTCATCTCGTTCACGATCAGCTAAATAATTTTTGAATCGCATCAGAATGCTAACAAAACCAATATACTTTTATTTTTATTTTCATGAACGAGTAAACGACATTTTTAACATAGTTTAATAAATATTTTTATTTAAATATAAACAAACTATGATTACTAAACTTATTTATATTGAGATAAAAATATATATATTATACTCGATTTGTAATTTTCGAAGGTTAGTTAGTGATTAACTGATTAATATGTATACACATAGATTTATATTGTGTGCCTTCAGATAACAAATATTTTTCGTTAAAGTCTCCAAAGAATGCAGTCTATTCTATTTAAAGTTGATAGTAAAAATAAAACCAGTTGCTAAGTCAATGTTGCAAAATACAATAGTAGCTAAATTATGGTGCTCAATATTTGTTTACTGTTTGTCTCGTGTACTAAGAAACAATACATGCTTACATGTGCATGCGTGTGGGGAGGTCTGTGTGTTTGTGTTTGTTATTCAATAGAAATAATAACAACAATAAAATCAAGCACAAAATTCAAACTGAGGCGGCGAATTTCGCTGCGTGCTTGATTCAACATGCGATCGCAAACGCTTTTGACATTGACATTGAAAACGAACACCGAACAAGCATACATATATAGAGACGCCACACAAGCTACAGAGACTACCCAACAACCGGCTGGCCTTCTCCACATAGTAATCAAACAACAACAACAACATTAGTTAACAGGCTTTGACTCTTTGGCAGAGCTACAGCTGACCAAAATATAACATTTTAAAATAATCAGCTCCCGCTGCGTATCTCCTCTCTCTGTCTCTCTAGCTATGCACTCGCCGGAAGGTAGAGCCGGCTTAAAGCGGGGGAGCTGAAAACTTGAATAAAATGTCGTCACGACTCGGTTGACTGAACTCGGTTAATATTTATACATACATATATATACATACATACATACATATACATATACATTTTTTCATATCTGTGAAGTGAACATTTAAATTAACTGCAGATTCAGTAGACATTATAAATTAACAAATCTCGCTTCAAGTTTGAAACATTTATATTTTGTTTAACAAATTTTCAACACTTTATAATTTTTGGATTATAGTTTTTAGATGTTGAATTCTATAGATTTTTTGAACTTCTGAGTTTTGAGTGCTTAAGTTTTGAATTAAATAGCCGCATGCATTTATTTTAATTCATAATTTTTAATATATTCAAGGTGTTTTTTTTTTTTTTTTTATGGAACGCCAGTTTTAATTGGATATTTATGATTTTAATTTATTCTTCTTTTTTTTCAGAACTAGTTTTCTATATCCAAATTTTAATTTTGTAGTGATTTAAAAGAATATTTTATGGTTTTGTTTCTTTTTTCTTAATTTTATGTTTTTTATAAATTTAAAAAATATTTGCATAAAAGAAATTAGTTTTTGCTGAAAAGAATAGCAAAGCATCTTTGTATATGATTTCTCTAAAATTATTATTAATTTAATTATTAAATTCTTCCAAGAAGAATTAGAAAATGTAGGAAATATTTGTTTTCTATCTTAAGCCACGAACAAGTAATTTAATACATGCAAATGTTTTCATCTCATTTAGTGAGAAGCGTTAACTACTTATTCAAAGTTGACAATATGAAAGGTCATAAGATCGAGTCTCTAATCCGTTTACCGTTCTAGCTATCTAGTTGATAACAAACTGTGTTAATGCTTTAAGTGGCTAGACCTTGATTTGTTTTATTTATTGACAAAAATTAATGCGCTTATTTGATAAATAAATTGAATGATATGATCGATTTGGTAAATAATTAAACGTGCTAAATACATCGATTTATTACCTATTTAGATAGACTTTTACTTTCAACCAAATGGCAAATAACTTTGTGATGTGACATGATTTGATTCTAAATTGTATATTCGAATATGTTACACGAGCTTTAGACACGACAACTCGATTACGAATACGTGTGGATAATTACAATGTGGGTTAAAGAACTTTAGCCGATCCGATGACG